TTGACTTTTCCTACAAAACCCTAATTTAGCAACTTTTGGTTCTTGAGGAAATATGAACAATCCTTGATGAATCATGATCAACCCTTGATCAAATTATGAATGATACTTCAAAAGGAGAATGTTGACCAAAAATCTTGAAGTTTGACTGTATGTGGGCCATAGTTAACTGTTGCCCTAGCATAGTCGATTTTCAGGCACTTGAGGAATTGACTGAGCAAACTTTCTCCGCAAGGCTTGAAACTTGACATGGATGTCCTTGAGAACATATTAGGACAAATGGTGAGAATTTGGGACTCCTTGGATTCAAGCATCTTGATGCAACATGAAACCCTAATTTGAGGTAAACTGCCTTAGGAGGGAGCTTGTCTGGCCAACCCTTGGACTTCCTTGAGCAACTTGAGAACTTTTCTTGAAATGTTTTGAGAAATATGGGAGGGAAAATTTTGGGGTACAACATGAGGTATATTTTCATGTGATCAGTGCACGGGACCTGAATGGCCTCGCAGTTGAACCGATCAATGTATTCTCTAAGGGTCTTGTCGCTTCTCTAGGTGATTGCCTCAAGGGTGGCCTCAACCTTCGGATGTCAACGAGACGCGGTGAAGCTGTTGATGAACTGGTTTTAAGGCTTATCCAGGAGGTGATCGACCCGGGGGAGAGGTTCTTGTACCAGTCCATGGTTATTTTTCTCAATGTCGCGGGGAACAATCGATATTTAATTGTCCCCCGATGTTGTGGTAGTCGAGCATCGCTTCAAATTCATCGATGTGGTCGAAGGGATCAACAATGGCGTCATACTCCTTTAGTAGGGGAGGTTTCTCCATTCCCCTAGGAATGGGAGCCTCCATGGTTGCTTGGGACAATGGACCGCGGGGATCGTCTTCATCACTTTTGTCTAGAGAACGGAAGGGGGGCCGGTTGTAGCGGCGGTCATTGTGATGGCCTTGGCCACGGGGAGGATCCCTTGGTCGAGTTTGTCTTTCTCCATTTCCCTTATTTCTGTTGTATTCAAGGGATCGTCGCTCCCTGCGCAGGGGGTGTGACTGCGCCTCATCACAGCATCGGGCTAACTCCTCTCCAACGCATGACCTCACCCAGTTCATCAGGGAGAGGGGCTTTGCGAGTCATCCCGTCTGTGTCTCCGCGGGGAAGATTGGGGAAGGTCCTCATTCTGTCTGGGAGGAGGAGTGTCAGGTCTCCTGTATCTTCTAGGGGCCCGACGAGTTTGCTCGAGCATCCTTAGTCGCTCACCCTGTGAGAATATCATGTAGTTGGTCTGGTTGATGGCCGCGAACAGAGATCTGGTCGTGGCATTAGCACCTGCAGGGACGAGGACTTCCTGGTATGTATTTGGTTCATAGTTCTGTGGAGGATGATAGTCGTCTTCGCGCATTGATGAAAAGGCGGTCAGTTCGTCTCTGTAGTTTTTCTCGGGACCGACCATGTCAATTTCGTTGCCTGCATTATTGTTGCAACGTCGTTATCACCAATGTTGTTGTTGTTGTTGTTGTTGGGTTCGGCGAGATGGGCATTTTGGTGATTATCGACAGCATGGTCGACCATGACAATCGTACAGTTAGATGAAGAGTTACTTTGGTCTTGAGATAAAGACGGGGAAGTTGGTTCCCACAGACGGCGTCGCTGATCGTACCTGATCAGATGTGATTGTCAAAGCCCACAAGCTTTAAGTTGAGCATCAGTTGAATATGAAGTGGGGGTATCTGCAAGACACTCTGATGCCAACGTGAAGTTCAGAGAAAATTCAAGCAAGTATAAAAGTGAGTAAGTGAATGAATATCTTACCCTCTCAAGTTAGAGGGTATTTATAGCCTCCAGCGCTGGGCCAAGATCTTTAGTGATAGGCTACGATGAGGCCCAACAACGAAGACTGTCAGGACTTACAAGTGTATGGAGTCTAGCACATCGCCTCCTCCCTGGTCAACTTCCCCGAGAAAACAGGAGTTGGACCCGTTATTCTCAGAGACAGGGTGATGATGATATGGACATGTAAGTCGCGTTCTTCTGATGGACACGTGGGGAAATGCCCAACGGTCCTCAGTTTGAACTACATGTTTTTGGGCCTTTGATAAAGGCATTGGATTGGGTCTCTCCAACGGTGGGCAAGTGTCAGCCCAATCCAGAACACCCTTCATGTAGATTAATGCATGCTTCAAAATCTGAATTGAACTTCACACTCTTTTGATATAGATGATTCGCATGCTTTAGATCGTTTTGTCTTATATGCCAAAAACATAAACCATGAAATGTTTCCGGTATATTCACCCATTTATCAACACACTCGACTATCGAAATTGACGACATATTCATCTAAAAAATAAAACAATCATCAAATAATAGTATAAATGAATTCTCGTACTTCAATTAATATAGAAGCTTGATTTCAAAAAAAAATATAGAAACTTGTTCCTTTATTCAAATAATGTAAAATAATTATTTAATTCAATGAGGTGATTTTCCTCTTCAAGTAATCATTTATAAAGAGGTACATGACTAGATTCCATATGCATCTACAATAAGATCTATCATGTATGCCATGTTATGTACTCGATCAGATATCTCGTATGCTTTAAGTGCAATGAGTAGGTACCAATCTGATCCCGGTGATGCTCATTGGATAGCTGTCAAGAATATACTTAATTACTTGGGAATGACTAAGGACTCGTTCTTGATATATAGAGGTCAGGAAGAGCTTGTTGTAATTGGATACACCGATGCTAGCTTCCAGACATATAAGAATGACTTTAGATCACAATCTGGTTATGTGTTCTGCTTAAATGGTGGCGCTGTGAGCTGGAAAAGTTTAAAGAAAGATACAATTGTTGATTCTACAACTGAGGCCGAGTATATTGTTGCTTCAAATGCAGCAAAGGAATCTATTTAGATCAAGAAGTTCATTAGTGAACTTGACATAGTCCCGAGCATTATGGATCCCATTGATCTCTATTCTGATAACAATGATGTTATCGCACAAGCTAAGGAGCCTAGATCTCACCAACGATCAAAACGCATACTTATGCGTTATCACCTCATTCAAGAGATAATTGATCAGGGAGATGTGAAGATATGTAGAGTACCTACACTTGACAATGTTGTCGACCCACTAACAAAGCCTCTTGCGCAGCAGAAGCGATGGTCATACTATATCTATGGGTATTAGGGGTATGCCTGATTGGCTCTAGTGCTAGTGGGAGATTGTTGGTGTAAGCCCTAGAGGCCAATACTTTAGGTACTTGTATCGAATTATTTATTAATAATAAAAGGCATTTCTTTATTATGTTTGCTTTTCCAAAATAATAAAGTCCCTAGAATAGTTCGTTTGTTTAATGAAATATTAAGTGCGACTTAATCATGAGATCCATTTAACATAAGAACAATATTCTTAAAATATCCGTAGTCGAGCTTTATTGCGAAGTGGGATAACATTAAAGCATTGAGATTATCGTGAAGATAGACTGATGATCACACCTTATGAATCATGGATAAAGAGTTATCAAGTCTTGACATAGGTATGAATATTAGGAGTAATATTTATACTGGATTGACCTGCTATGAGAATACTACATAGAATATTATGCAAGGTGTCATAAGTTATTCTCGTAGTGATAATGGTGTATACCACCCTTCAACCTGAAACCACTGTGGACCCTAGATGTAGAGTTAAATACTTTATTGCTGATCAAATATTATTTGTAACTGGATGACCATAAAGACAATTGATGGGTACTTCACAAAGCATGTTGAGGGACATGAGTGACCTAGATGGAATTTGTCCATTCTGCATAACAGGATAAATGTTAAGGGCCTAATATTGAACTGGACAAGGGTGACACGGTTTATGCCTTGTGTTCAATATAGACATAAGGGCAAAAGGATAATTGTACACACAAATATTATCATAGAAATTTTTTGTCAGATCACTTGATATTTTCGTGACTTGGGTAGCTGTGATGTGTTGCTAGATACTGATCACTGTTTATTATGTTAAATGTGTGATTTAATATAATTGCCAACGTCACGAAAACCTACAGGGTCACGCACATAACGACAGGTTGATGAGAGATAGAGTAAATACGGAACATCGTAAGGTACGGTACACTTAAGTGAAATATAGAATGTGGTAAGGTACCACACGCTTAAGTGATATGTGGTATATCATAAGATATGATACCCGTATGTTTAATTGGGCTTTTAACTTGCAGCCTTAATTAGGCTTTTAGCTTGCAGCCCACATAAGTGGTCTATAAATAGAACACGTGTGTTGAAGCATTTTACTTGATGAAAATTCGGTCTTGAAACCCCAGCCGTATTTTGTCTCACTCTCTCACTCAAAGTTTCCGTTTGTAAACAGTTAGCACTGTGTTCGGAAGTGGTCTGTTCGTGTGGACTGAGTAGAGACGTTGTTATTCATCAACGTTTGTGATCACATCAAAGGTCTAAATCATCACAAGAGATAATAATTTCTATCACTGATCATACCCATTCGTAAGGATCACTAAATTTTTTTTTAATTTTCCATTACGTTTTAGATCGTAATTTTCCTTCAGAAACTGTTTCCAAAATTTTTTATAAAAACTTGTTCCTTTATTTAAATAATGTAAAACAATTAGTTAATTCAATGAGGTACTTTTCCTCTTCAAATAATCATTTATAAAGAGGTACATGTGCAGTAAGAACAATATATTCATGTTATAAAACGAGATAAACAGTAAGACAAATAAATTAAATAATGAAATATAAGTAACAACAATACCTTTTTCTTATAAAACGAGATGAATAGTAAGAAAACACAAAGGCGGCAGCTTATAATAAAATTATTGTCTTTCTTAATTCAAGTTGCTGGTATACAACGAGTCATATAATAAAACCATATAAAAAAAAAAACTATATGCAAAAGATAACAATCCATTGCATATAAGACAAAACCAAAAACCAAAATCAAAAGTTGTAAATAACTTAAGAGAGATCTCCACTATATAGTTTCAGTTGTGAGAGCCAGCTTTGCTCTGGGCAGCATCAGCAGTTTCCTGTGCTTTTTCCTTCATTTGTTGACCAGCCTACAACAACAAAACATTTTCATTAATCACCAAAAAATTTTATTTAAGGTTGAGCAATTATAAGTTTGACAACAACATTTCTGTCGGTATATCTAAATTGTTTGTTAATTTTTCAAACCTCTTGGCAAGATTCTTTAGCAGATTGAGCAGCATTGCTTGCCTTGTCCATCATGTTGCTTCCCTTCTCCTAAATCAACAACAACATTATATCAAACTATCATGATATATTAATTTAAAATACATTTACAAGAAATTAAAATGGCATGAGTATATCCAATACATGTTGGCACTAATAATTTACCTGAGCTTGTCCAGTGGCTTGGCCAGCTTGATGACTTAGACTTTGGGATTGATCCATCTTTGATTTCTCTTTTAGAATCTTGAAAAAAATGAAGATAACTCAACAAATGTTATTTTTCTTGGTGATTGTAATTCATCATTGTGAAGTGCATATATATAGTTTTTCATATTTATGAGCAAAGTAACAAACGTAAATATCTGTACCATTCATTTAAGATGCTTTAGTTTAGGCTTAAGACCAGGAAATTTAATAAATATGTGTTTGTGAATTTAACTATTATTATAATCATCCTACTAAAAATAGAAATAAACTTATCATCCATTCTTCTTCTAAAGTGCTATCACTACAAGAAATAATCTCTCTACAAAGTGTTTTTGTGACTTGATTATCACGTGATAAAAATTTGTCTGTTGCAACGTGATAATCACGTCACTATATTTTTTAATGTTAAATATAATAACTTTTAATTTATGACGTAGAGACTTATTTATTTTTTATTAAAAATTAGTTGCGGCGTGTTTATCACGTCGCAAATTTTAAATTTAAAAAAAAATTATAAATCAAAAAAGATTGGCGCTCAAAAGGAAGGAAGTTTGAAAATTTTATACAATTGGTTGCTGCATGAATATCACGTCGCAAATATTAAATTGAAATAGTATCTGACTTTGAACAGATGGGACACAGGTTGTGTAATAATTATTTCTGACCGTTGGATGTTGCGACGTGATTATCACGTGGCAAAGTTGCAACGTGATAATCACGTCACTGATTGGCTCATTGTTTATTAGATCGTTGAGGGTTGCGACGTGAATATCACGTGACAATGTCCATATATAATTACGCAGTTCACTCTTCAGAGAAACATCATTTCATATTTGTTTTGTTTCTGCAATTTTCTCTCTCTTCCCTTGCCAAGCCATTTCTTCATTCATCTCCCACTACCCATTAATCTTTCAATTCTAAATTTTTGTATCAGGTATAATTTTTTATTCTTTCATATTTTTCAATTTAATTTAATAATTGTATTTAATCTTTATAAATATTCTGATTTAGTTAAAATTTTATTTTGTTGGTCAAAGATTAAGCAATGTTGAAGAGATTCATTGGTAGTAGATTGAGCAATATTGATAAAGATTGAAGGAGATTGAAGAAGAGATATTTTAGTTGTTTAATTTTTTTTTCTGAAATTTTTATAGGATTATTATATTTTAGTTGCGTTAGTTATATTTTATTTTTATTGTTGTTATATATATTTTTAAAATAGATATATAATATATATTTTTATAAAATTAAAAAAAACAAAATATTTATTTATTTAGATAAAACAGGAAATATATAATATATTTTATATATTTATTTTATCTTCCTGTAATTTATTTATTTATACTTTATTTTTGTTGTTGTTATATATATTTTTTAAAAAGATATATAATATATATTTTGATAAAATAGAAAAAAATATTTTGTTTAATTATTTAAAACAAAAAATATATAATATATTTTAAAAACAGAAATATTATATATATATATATATATATATATATATATATATATATATATATATATATATATATATATATATATATATATATATATATATATATATATATATATTTTAAAAAAGAAAAATAAAACAAAAAAAATAATTTATAATGAAAAACAGAAAATGAAACAGAAATATAATATTACTTTTTATATATTTTTTTATAAAATAGAAAAATTAATTTTTAAGCAAGATATTTTTGTAAACAAAATATATTAATATTTTACGTTTTGTAAATTATATATAAAAACAGAGTATATTATATATGTATTATAAATTATAAAATATATTATACAAGTATATTTGAGATAAAATAAAATAGAATATATTAATAATTAATATTTTGTTAAATATTTTTTGTCTCCTATATATATATATATATATATATATATATATATATATATATATATATATATATATATATATATATATATTTGGTTATAAAAATTATAATATTATATGGTTATAAAATAAATATAGTTATAAAATTTAAAAACAAAATTGTGTGAAATAGTATTTTTTTTAAGATAAATTTAAAATCAAAGAATATATGGTAATTATATGTTACATAATATGTTTATTATTATATATATAATAATAATTATTTATAAAAAATATTAATTATTATATATTTATTAAATGATTAGTTAAAAAAAATGATTAGTTAAAAAAACAAAAAATTTATGATTAATATATTTAATATGTTTATTAAAAATGTTTAGTTAAAATAAAAACAAAATTTTTATGCTTAATATCTTTATAATTAAAAATGTAAATCAAATCATTTGTTTATATATATGTTTATGGTTAATGTTTATTTATAATTAACATATTATGTGAGAGTATATTATATATTAAATAGTATAAAATTTGTTGATATATTAAAATCACAAATGTAATTAAAAAGATAATGATTGCATAAATGTGTAGTATGGAATATTATCGGTATGATCGTAGTTGGATGTACGATAGATTGTATTCAGAAAGACGTGCATTTAAACCTCATTTTATAGGAGTTAATGAGTTTATCATGTCGCCATTATCTCAGGAATGTTGTCAAAGCGAAGGAGGAGTTATGTGTCTCTGTCTTAAATGTGAATGTATGTAACACCCTAATTCTACCTGGCAATTGTAAATGTAAATTAAAGTTATAAAATTCATACAACTTAATCAGGATGTCACAAATTCAACTTAAAAACCATTGCATTCAACATGAATATATAACACTTTAAAACCTCAGATGAACCAACAGCAAAATAAATTAATCTCTTAATTCAACAACTTGAACAACTACGCAGCGGAATCATAATAACATCCTTGTCCAACATTTCAGCAACTTCAAAATAACACATACTTAGCAACAATCAAATTAAAGTTCAATAACTGGAATAAAAATAACTAAAAGCAACCAGCATTCATCCCCCCGAGTGTTACGTATCAGAGCAATGACACCGACTCGAACTACTGAAGGTATACCGCCTTCACTCTGGATTACCTGCACATTACCAACATAAGAGTAACATTCAAATAGAAGGGATGAGATATCTAAAAATATAATAAAACGTATGATAAATAATATATTATATCTGATCATCTAATATCACCACTTCACATCTTATAAACAACAATAATCGCAAGGGAACAGCAACAACATACAACATTTACCACATCAATACACAACTTCTTTATGCAATCATATAATGCGACTCAATACTATGCAAATACATGTGGTACCATTGGAGCAGAACTCCCATCTCAAAATAATTACCAATAAATAGAGGCATCAACAAGGCACAAGCTTTCATCTTAATATTCGCCAATACATACCATCTTAACGAGCATCAGCTCCATCTTGATATGCAATGTATGCGACACAATCATGAATGTAGTAACAACAACCACAACTAACAACATATCAACACGAATCATCGTTGGCCAGAAGCCTACAACTCAATAGATGCCAATAATTAAAGACATCTCATCATAATTCATCAACAAAATTCATCAACATAAATCATCAGCATAGTTCATCCGCGTAAAACCACAACAACTCAATCATAACCACAATACAATAGCAGGTCAACAACCATTCAACATTGGCCATAGGCCTACAATATAATATCGCCCATAAATATTCAGACAATTCTCGACTATGCCGATTAATCACTCATCTAATGCTTATCTTTAATTATTAAACCTCTACAGATTATTATACTGCAATAATACATCATTATTACTATTAATATTACTGTCATGAACCAAGCAATAATCTAAGATCGTCTTATCTTCATCATAATTCACAAAATCATCATAGCGATTAACGTAGGAAGCTAACTCTATCCTAATTTGGGTACTAGGATTATTCTTCTTATCCTTCATTTTAATCCTTATGAATGAAGTTCATCGCGTTAGTTATCAAACGCTTCAAACGACACCTCAAATGAAGTCTGGAAACTTAAGTTACAGCCTTTGGAAAAATCTGTCAAAAATTGGACTGCATGAGTCGACGCGTACTTCCTTGAGTCAACGTGTACTGGGTCTGGAATCCTGCATGAGTCGACGTGTAATCCTCTTGTGTCGACTCATACTGAGTCTGAAACACTATATGTTTCGATGCATGATCCTTCTTATCGACTCATACTGAGTCTTAAATCCTGCATGTGTCGATGCATGGCCTTTGAGGTCGACTCATAGTGATCTGTGCTGAATATATTCTGCGATTTCACTGCGTTTTCACTGCGATTTCCCTTCCCTAGGTCCTAAAAATATCATCTAATCATAGGTAATCATAACTTATGATAATCCTATATTTCTATATCAATTATACATCATTAGGGCATCATTATTCATCTCTAAATCATTGATTTCTCATCAAACAACAATACATATATATATATATATATATATATATATATATATATATATATATATATATATATATATATATATATATATATATATATATATATATATATATATATATATATATCAATCACAAATAAAACAATTTCTTCCAAATTCAATCCCATATACTACTCATCATAAACCCTATTATAGAGTCATAACCCCACCCTTACCTTGGATTGAAGGTTGCTCTACAATTTTCCAATCGAATTCCATTTTGCTCTTTTCCTTCTTTTCTTCAACTTCCACGTTCTCTTTCTCTCTTCCAACCCTTATTTCTTTTTCTTCTTATTGTTACTTCTTTTTTTATTATTTCTCAATAACCAATATAATAACACTATAATTCTCATTATGTCTTATTTAGCTTTAACTCCTACACCCCCTTTTTACTACTTCTAATCACTAAAATAAGCCCACATCAAATAATATTGATATTCTAATATTATTCTACAACTTAATCGAATAAGTTAATCCACATAACCATAACACAACATCTATCATCATAACACAAATTTGCAAATAATCCAAAAATAATTTAATTAAATAATTAATTAAATTACGGGCGTTACAACTCTCCCCCACTTAGAATATTTTCGTCCTCGAAAATTTA